AACAGGAAGGTTACCAAGAACCGTGGAATTTTATCCAAGATAATAGACTACATTACATTTTGTGGAAACTTTGAAATTCCTTTTCGTGGACATGATGAAAAAGATGATTCATTAAATCCAGGTGTATTAGGGGATTAATAAATTTTGCATCTAAGTTAGACCCAGATTTAAAGAACCATTTAGAAACAAGTACAGTCTTCACAGGTGTTTCTAAGACTATTCAGAATGAGATACTTGACTGCCTGCTGCAGATATACCATGATGAGATAAAGAAAGAGATTAAAGAAGCTTCATTTGTAGCTGTCATGGCTGATGACACAACAGATGTTTCAGAACACACTCAAATGGTAATTGTTCTACGGTACGTGCTGAATGAAGAAATATTTGAGCATTTTTGGGGATTCTTTATTCCAGAAAATCAAACTGCAGATGGCATATCAAAATGTATTCTAGAGCAGTTAGATATAATCCTTCAAGAAAATAGACAAAAACTGATAGCTCAGACATTTGATACTGCAAATGTCATGAAAGGCAAAAAAGGGGGCGTTCAGGTAAAAATAAAAGCAGTTTATAGTAATGCACATTTCATTCACTGTTATGTGCACCAACTGAATCTGATAATGAGAAATGCAGCAAGTATTACGCGGGACTCCAGAATATTTTTCTCTAACGTTTTGGCTATACCAACATTTTTCTCAAGATCACCACAACGTGTATCCATTCTCAATAAGCATATGAATGTCAGCATTCCGCGCCCATCCTCTACAAGGTGGAACTTTAACATACGGACCGTGAACAAAGTTCATGAAAATTTGCAACCTTTAAAAAACTGCCTTGCTGAAATCCAGTCGACAGTAAATGCAGATTGAACCATTTCAGAAGCAACAGGAATTTTGCACTACCTGAATAATGAAAAATTCATGTTCTCGTTGGAGCTTTTTCATCAGATCTTGCCTCATGTTGAAGTAATTTACAACCAAATGCAGTCTCGAGAAATTGATGTGTTTAAAGTACATGAATATATAAAAAATTTCAAAACTACTATTTTAGAAATAAGAAACTCAAAGTACTGTGAGAATCCTTCAAAGACGCTCATGGCTGAAGCAAAGAAAGTATGTGACTGCATATGTGTTGATATAGTGGAGAGATATTCTTTCACTAAACAATTAGTAGCAGCTAAATTATTCAACAAGAAAAGCTTCACTAGTTTTAAGAATAAACTGCCTACAGAAGAGATAGAATTGACCACTGAAGCATATCCCATGATTGACAAAGACAAAATTGAAACTGAACTTAGAGCATTCTACAGTAGGTCCGATATGCATGAATATTACAGGTTAATTAACCTGCTGAAATTTATCTTGGAAAATAATTTAGATGGTGTTCTTAGTGAGATTATTAAACTGATAAAAATCTCTTGACAATTCCTATGACTACATCAGAGCCTGAACGCTGCTTTTCAACGTTAAAAAGAATAAGAACTTTTCTGAGGAGCACTATGAATCAGGAAAGGCTAAATGCACTTGCAATGATTTCAATGGAGAAAAATTTCTTTAACAGTCATCCAAACATCAATGAGAAAGTTGTTGACCTTTTCGCTCAAAAGAAAACAAGAAGAATGGATTTTATTTTTAAATAAATTTGGATCTAGCTCGACTGGAGTATTTTATCTGTAAGTGTTAAATGTTTTTTTTTGTATTTTTACCATACTTTTATTATTTTATTATTTTTATCATTATATATATATATATATATATATATATATATATATATATATATATATATATATATATATATATATATATATATATATATATATATATATATATATATATATATATACCTACTGTATTTCTGTGTGTGTGTGTCTTGCACAATATTAAAACAATTCTTAAAAATGTTTTGAAGCAGCACCCCCACGAATTAGAGTCATGAGCTGCCACTGGTATTGTATTTGTTATCACTTAATAAATACTATTGTATTTTTTCAGCACTTAATAATATTGTAGTGCATTATGCATCTGAATATTCCTTAATTGATTCATTAATCAGTTGTCTAAGTGTACAAGTAGCCAATTTGAGCTATAATGTATCACTCAAAGGTAAAAAATAATGTTGTTGGGAAGGTAACTCCTCATCAAATACTATACATTATGTTATAGTGACCCTGTTGTAAGCTGATTATCTGTAAGATCTCACACGAATACATCCTGAGTGAATACCTTCTGATGCAGTTTTTTGCGGTTACCTGTTGGAATCACTAATTAGAGGTAAACTGGAAGCAACGTTCATAAATGTTTATGGGTTAAGTTTTTAAATCAAAATGGTCTTTTCTCCATTTATTAAGAAAATAAACTATTGCACAATAACTAGGATGTCACCGTAATTAACGCTATGAGCTGTGAGCATTAATAATGGATGAAGCATAGGTATAACTAGCTTTTTGATGCACACATCTCAGTGGCTCAGAGACGGGAGTTGAACTGGTGAGAGCCGGCTACTTATTTGATGACTCTGCAGTCAAGGTGTGAGGGCACAGTGGGAATACACTGTCACATGTCTAGTTGATGATTACTCACATCTCATACGAAAGTTACCGTGGATGATGTAATTATATAAAACTAATTTATGTAGTCCACATTTACATAAGTATTGCTCTCTATTTGACAGGAGTAATACAAGCTTATTCTTTTATTTTGAAGAAAATTTTAAATTACATATTGTATTTTTTCTTATTATTGAAACCATTATATTAATTATGATGACTCATACACCATAAGAGGCTGATGATACAATATGATACTGAATCAATAAATAAAACTGACGAATGCGGCATCGTCCGATCAGCCTCGTCCCCCCCACAAACCCCAGCCGGTTTACTTACACAGTGTCTTAGCTTTAATTAGGCCTACAGCAAATCTGATTAGACCACTGTACAGTATTCAGTGAGCAAGTGTTGTTCTTTCTTTATATATTTTTTAATTTTACCCATTTCTTAAAATATGTACAGTATTCTGTATTATTTTCACCCATTTCTTAAAACCACCCAACATCCCCGTTAGTGATACTACATACTCTACTGTACATAAAAAAGTTCATGTAAATGAGTGTACGTAGTGAGGAACAGCACACTGATATAATACATGACAATAGGACTCATAATGAGACACACCCACGCACAGACATTCAACCGCATGTATGAATACACAAACGTTCCGGACTAATGCTGGATTTTCCGGGTATTTAAAAATATTTCTGTCAAAGAGGGCCAGTCCGGAGCACCTCAGAGCCCCCAAAAAAGCAAATTCCAGAGAATTGAAGTCCGGTGAATAGAGGTTCCACTGTACAGTAGCTTTGTGGTGTGGAACACAATATTCTTTATGGCATATTTATAACTGAGAGACTATTGAATATTTTATGAACCAATTATGAGAACAATATACAGCTACTCACCTCACCACAAGTACACTGCCACATATCTCAGGCTGGACATTTCCTTCATTGACAAATGTTACTCCTTTAAACTGTTAAGAGATATAACTTGTTACTGAATCGGCCAAAATTTGCAAGCAAATACACTTCTCTTTTATTCTGTCTCACAATTTGCCTGAAGTCATAATGGCCAAAAAACTCAAAACTGCAGTTTTAATGACTGCTGACAACTGTAAAATGGTATCAGTGGTGTGTGGGGCCATGGGAAGATACTGGTACCAGTGTGCAAAAATTCATCTAAAACAGGGATGCCTAACCAGCGGCCCGCAAGCAATTTCTATATGGCCCCCTCCATAAATCAAGGCATCAAAATGCATGCCAACAACACATCTGATAAATTTTTTTTATTTATACAGTGATATCTCCATTAGTCAGAACAATTGGTGCAGAGCACTTCCGGGAATGAGATGACTCTCTCAAAGCCTGGAAAAAATCCCTCATCCCCAGAATTTTCAGGGTAACGGAAAAATGTTCTTGGAAGTTCCAGAAATTGTGCATTTGCAGCATCTATCGAACCTGGAAAATTATCCCCCATTCCCGGAATTTTCTCAGAATTTCCGGAAAATGAGCCTGATTTTCATCTCAAACCTGGAAAAAAAATTCCCCATCCCTTGAATTTTTCAGGATTTTCTGGGTACTGTAGTGGGAAAATTTTCTCAGAATTTTCTAGAACATGTGCCCCTCGGAAAATCACTCCCAAGCCGGAATTTTCCGGAAAATTACGGCTTGGAAACAATTTTCCAAGAAAATTTCAATTCCGGCTATCAGAGAGTTCCGGTTAAGAGGGATTCTGGCTAACAGAGATATTACTGTACTCTACATATGTTTAACTTTTAACATTGATGTTTTGTAATATTATACTGCACCTTTTTTTGGTGGCTCCTAATGCCTAATTATACTGTATAGTGTTATAAAAATAGATTATTTGCTTCATTTCACACCATTCATACAAGTGTGTGGCCCTCAAGCTACTGCTAGACATTAAGTTTGACCCTCTTGCCAAAAAAGCTGAGCACTACTGATCTAAATTAATCAAGATAAGATCAAACAGCAGCTGAAATTTATTGTTTTATGGTGTTTGACGTCTAATTCCTTAAAATAATTTTTGGGAAAAATAATAATAATAGGGGGAGGGGGTCTCGACTTATTGGTTCAAGGTACAAGCCTGACAAGTTTCAATTTCCTGGGTCCTGATATAAAGGAGTGATGATTAACTGTTAATTGTTTGCAATAAGAAAAATAAGAAACGGGTATAACAGTGTCCTCCTTTAAATGGGAGATGTACTGTTATGAGGTCTAACCACCATACACCACTCAACCTTCTCCATTAAATATTTTCAACATTCTGCCCATCTAACCAAACTCTATTACAGTACTGTTAATTTTCCTTTTCCAGCACTGCATAATTGCTGGCAAAAGTTTGTTTTTTAACTCATATTGTTATGCTAGTAAGGAATTGTTTGTTATAAATTAAAGCTTTTTAGTTATGTTTAAAATAAAAAATAATAATAATTTATGATTTTACTGTACTTTTGCTATAAAATATGACACATACAAGTATCAAGAGAACAACATTAACTGTTCTTTGGGGTAAAAATTAGCATAGTAAATATTAAAGTACAAAATGTTAACCTAGTTATAATATCTTGGTAATGTACTGATGCAAAAATAAATGATAACATGAATGAAAAATAATCAATAATAGTCATATAAAGTCAATACATAGTACAAATAGTATAATTCATCTACTCTACATATATTACAGTATTGCTACTGTATTTAATAATGAGTTACCTGGACAACCCGTTCCATGGCTTCAACTGGCATGTGTTCAATATGCTCAACATGAGCAATATGGAAAGTTTGATCTACATCTGTTACTTGATCCATCCCATTAGTTGTTATTTCCTCGAAATGATCAGATGACACCTTTAAATCAGGAAGTACTTGTTGTACCTGCTGCTCTAAGGAATCCACTTGAGAATCCACACTGTGCTGCTGTAGATGCTCAGAACTGGTAGCTGTTGCTTCTAGGATGTCTCCATTTTCAACTTTACCAGATGCAATAATTTGTTCAATTGATGAATTTGCTTCATCTTCATATTCTCCATCACGTATAATTTGACCCTGTTCATCAAGCTTCGTGTGACGAGTAATCCGAGTTGGTCTTGTTCTTGGTCGCCCACGTTTTGCTCTTCCACGCCCTCTGCCACGCCCACCACGATTCACGGTTCTCTTGGGCACTGATGATATCATAGAATCTGTGGAAAGCAACTTACGTGGACGTCCACGTTTCTTACCTGTGGGAGGAGCTCCACATTTCTTAAGGTGCTTTTGTAAATATTGATTTGTTTTGAAAACCTTGCCACATCGACAACAAGCAAAAGGCCTCTCATCTGTATGAAGTTTACGATGGCTTCTCAGATCCCCTTTTGAGCGAAACGCAGCAGCACAATCAGCACACTTATAAGGTCTTTCACCAGTATGAATGCGTAAATGAATTTGTAAAGAAGCATTCTGAGCAAACGCAGATTTACATATTTGGCATGCAAATGGCCTCTCACCTGTATGCTTACGCATGTGATTTCTTAAATGAGTACTTGTAACAAATGAATCCTGACATATGCCACATATATATGGCCTTTCACCTGTGTGAGTTCTCTTATGACCTGTTAAATGTGAAGAGCGTGAAAAGGTTTGGCCACATTCAGAGCACATGTATGGACGTTCACCTGTGTGAATTCGCTTATGTGCCTTTAAATTTGAACTTTGAACAAAAGATGCACCACATTCTTCACAAGTATAAGGACGTTCTCCTGAATGTATCCTAGCATGGGACTTCAAGTTTGAAGAGTTTGAGAAAGAAGCACCACATGCATCACAGTAATAAGTACGTTCTGTAGTTGTTGTGCGTGGTTTTGGCCGGGGTGCAGGTGGCTTAGGTCTGGGAGGTGTTGTAATAATTTCTTGAGGATGGTGGTGATGCTGAGGCATAGCAATCTGTGGGGCTTGCATAGGTGGGGAGACCAGCAAATTATTGAATGTATTGTAGTCATACCATCCACCATGACCTGCCTGCCCTACTTGCACTAAATGGTCCATGTATACCGTGTTCATGTTGACTGAGTTTGGTGGAAGTGCCATTGCGCTATCTTCTCAACTCCAATTTCCACGATACAGCCTCAATTGGTCACTGCCTGAAAAGGTAAAATAATAAAAATAAAATACAACCCAAGTAAAAAAAAAAAAAAAAAAAAAAAAAAAAAAAAAAAAAAAAAAAAAAAAAAAAAAAAAAAAAAAAAGTAAAGGAAACTGGATGGTAATATTTCTACAACTAATATTATGGATGGTAAAATTAAGCAAATGCAGTACAGAGTTTAGTGATTAACAGTTCAGTACATGGAATACATAGATGGTACACCAGTGATAAAATGTGCATCATTTAAAACTCTAGCACTCCAATTATCTACACAAATCATACTTTTGGAAGTTACCAGACCCATTTTCAGGTTACTCATGTCAAATACAGGTAAACCTCAATAAACGATGTCTCATTCAGCAATATTCCGCTTTAACAATGGTCATGAATCAAGACCATTTCGCTATACTGCATATGATAAAAAAAAATTGCTTTAATGATATCCATTGATTAAATTTTTTTTTATCTCTATTGAAAACTATGGGTTGTACTGTACTCATATATACTAAAATTAATTGCTATCTTGCAAGGATTCCAGAAATGCAAATTACATACAATTTTCTATGTCAAGTCAGTGACATTTTATAAGTAAACAATATATAACCCTATGCACCTCACAACTCTCCCTTCACTTGTCAGCCCTACCCACATGCTGCCACATGGCCAACCCACGCAATACAGCCCTCCAATCGATTCTTTGTCGATTGTAAACCTGCCATTGTATTGCTCCACGATTATTGGTCAGCAGCATACATTGAATTGAATTGAAACAGTTTATTTAGCCAGAAAAACACAGATACAGAGTGGATAATAATAACAATATTAATATGGCTGAGCCAGTTGAGAGCCTGAGCTCTCTTGTAGGCACCTGATATATACTGTACATTAATCTCAAGGAAGTATTATGTAACATTTAGTATCATCTGGAATAGTACACAGAGCATGGTGGTAATAAGAACATATCAGTATGTTACCACAGTTATCACTTTGATATTTCTTTATTATTTTATTTTTACATTTATATTATAAGTAATATACATACATTACAATGGAATTGAAAAACATAAAAATAATGGGGAAAGTAGTACGTACAACATGGGTTGTACAGTATTAAGTTGAACAAGAGGACAGAGCTGTCAGGATTATATCTAGTTGGCAAATATATTTATTGCAATGGCAATTTCTTATCTATCTACATCAGTGGTTCCAAACCTCAGGTCGCAACCCAAATCAGGGTCATGGGGTGTCCTCAGCAGGGTTGCGAGGGGCCCTCAGACAACTTAAAAAATATAGTACTTATCATAAAGTCATAAAAAAAATTTTTGCTTAACATTCAAGTTCTATAATATTATTCAACAAATTAATATTGAAAGAAAACTGTATGCCACATTGAGACAACATTTAAAATGCATATTTTTCACTGGTGCGCACAGTAGCAGAGGGTGGAGGCACTGTGGTGGCAGCTGGCAACTCGAGACAGCGGTGGCGGCGATTAGGCAGTTGCGGTTGGCCAGTTGCTGCCCAGCCCTACTGCCCACGCAGCACTCAGCAAAGTTGCGTACGTGTCCACACATTTTCCCTATTACTTTTGCTATCAGTATTTTTAAATTTCTTCTCTTAAGAAGAAGAAGAAAAAAAAAAAAAAACGTTTTGTGTGTGTGTGTAATGCGCTACCTACTCGGAGGGGCCATTCAAAAATTATGTAACACAGAGGGGGTTTGGGGGAATCAAGCCAAGTGTTACAGTGTATTACAGGGAAGGAGGGTGGTGTCAGGAGAAGTGTTATGTAACAGCAAAAAATTTAAATAAAACCTAAATAATACAGATGTAATCTTTGAAAGCTTTAATAATACGAAAAGCGTACTATAAGAATACAAAGAAAATACAGTACAGTGAGTTCTGCTATAACGAGTGTTTTGATAACGCGAATTTGCTCTAACGCGATTTGTGAATTATGAACGATATTTGTATAACGCGAACGCTTGTTTGCTATAACGCGATTTTTGCTTACTATTTATCCAATTTTGTGGTACAGTGGGGTATGCTATAACGAATCTAATTGGTACTAGAACCTTGTTCGTTATAGCATTCGTTCGTTATAGGATTAATCCGTTCCAGGCCCCCAAATACAACCACTTAACACTGAAAAATATAATATAAAATTGTACAAATTGTAAAAAAGTGCATAAATATGCATCTAAACCCCTGAAATAAAGAATATCATTAATATTTGTAATAAAAAAACAATAAATTAGAAAAAAAAAATTAAATAATGTTCGTTGTAGGAGTTTCGTTCGTTATAGCATTCTCAATTTTATAGGTAAAACCGTTCGTTATAGGAATATTCGTAGTAGGATCCGTTCGTTATAGCATACCCCACTGTATTAACTGTGAATATAGTAAAGAAGAATATCAACAAGAAGCGTTCTGGTGATAGACTTCCCGGTGATGATCGTAAAAGAAAGGATATAACACTTGAAGAGAAGCTCGATTTTATCAACCTCAAAATCACCCTTCTCCCCCATCAAGTAAAGTGTTACATTTACTGTATGATTTCATTATTAGATTTGAATGTAACATTTATTTAGACTGTGCTATCCTTTGTGTTCGGCTAACTCCTAAATTTTTTCGATTTCGAGTAATCTGCACCTAACCCTATTTTCTCCATAAGCCCTGTTATTTCTATTCCTTGATTTTCTATAACACGATATTTTACAAGAACACAATTATCGCGTTATAGCAGAACTACCTGTACTGTATATGTAATGAGGTCTTTCTATATCTTGCCAAATGCATATTCCATCCCACCCCTGCATACTCTTCAGCTGTTGGTGTGATCTGGAGCAGTGTTGTGAGTCCAGGAAAGGAGGTGGGGAGGTGTTCAGGGTTGTGTTATGTAATATTTTAGGAGAGGTTAGGCTTTGTGTTACAGTGTTACATTTACAGAGGTATAAATTTGGGTGGAAAAAAGCGTTGCGTATTTTTTTAATGTCCCCAGAGTGTTATTACTAATATTGTTTCACCAATCCTGTTTATGTGAAATATTCTCATTTCTTTGCTGTTTTTTTTTCTGTTTTAAAAAGGGAAAAATGCAGTCTTCAATACAAGTCTGAATTTTTTAACTTGGGCTTCACTGAGCTGAGAGATCGCTCTGGCTTAGCTCGCCCACAATGTTGACCATGCATGCAAGTTTTAGCAAATGAATCAATGAAAGAATACAAACTGAAAACAAACTGAAGCGGCATCTACAAAGTGTTCATCCTAATTTCATTGACAAACCACTGAGTTTCTGGAAGGAAAAAGAAGTGAACACAAAATGCATGAGACTTGATGCCCCAACAAATTCAGCAACTGTTTCTATGGAGAAAGTAACAAAAGCATCATTTGAGGTTGCATAGAAAATAGCACGTTGCAAGAAACCTCATACAATCGGTGAAGAACTTGTTAAACCAGTTGCACTCGCCATGGTCAGGACTGTTTGTGGAGATGAAATTGCCAAAAAACTTGAATTGGTCCAACTTTCTGACACCATGAAACGAAGAATAGACAACATGTCACAAGATATTCTCGAACAAGTTGTTAATGGTTTGAAACAGGCAGGGAAGTTTTTTATTCAAATTGATGAATCTGTAGATATCGAAGACAACCTACAACTCATGGTGTTTGTATGGTACTAAACAGATGATGACATTGTGGTAGAAATTTTGTTTTGTAAACCACTTAGAACCACTACAACTGGCCAAGCCATATTTGAAATAGTCAGTGAGTTTTGCAAGCAACATGATCATGACTGGGGTGATTGCTGTGCTGTTTGTAGTGATGGTGCGCCAGCCATGACGAGAAATCGTGTAGGATTTTGTACGCGGGTAAAAGCAGTTAACCCTGATGTCGTTATCATTCACTGTTTCCTTCACTGAGAGAATCTGGCGATGCAACAGATTCAGCCAAAGCTTCACTCCGTTTTACAGGATGCTATAAAAGTTGTGAACTTCATCATGTCAAAAGCACTGAATTCTCGACTGTTCCGGGTCATGTGTGAAGAAATGGGTTCACCATACCAGCACTTGCTCTATCACTCACAAGTCCGATGGCTGTCTCATGGGAAAATCCTTTTATGTGTCCTAATGATGAAAATGGAAATTGAACTTTTTCTGAGAGAGAAGAATCGCCCTTCTGACCACTTCAAAGATGAAGTTTGGTTGGTGAAGCTTGCTTACTTGAGTAATATATTCTAGCACCTGAACGAGTTGAATTCTGAAATGCAAGGGCGAAATCGGACCATGGTTGACATCGATGAGAAGATCTCGTTTTAAAAGAAAACTAGCTCTTTGGCAGGAAAAAATTACAAAAGGAAAAATTGCAGCATTTCCTAGTCTGAATGAGTTTCTTGAAGACGCTGAAGAAGTATCTATCAGCGATTTAGTAAAAAAAAAATTCAGGAACACTTAGCGAACCTAAAGACAGAAATAGATCGGTAGTTGCCCCAAAATGCTGATCTCCAGAAGCACAGCTAGGTAAGAAATCGTATTGATATAGATGTCAGTGAAATTGAGAATGATACTCATGGATTTGAAGAAGAACTTATTGATCTTCAAGGAAGTCAAGTGCTACAGCAGAAATTTGCTCAGGTTTCATTATCCTGTTTTAGGCACAGCTGAGAGGTAAACCTGTTCTGTCTTGGGAGGCACAGAAAGCCCTGCTTCCTTTTCCAACTACTTACTTATGTGAGGCGGGGTTTTCTAGTTTAGTAGCCATCAAGACTAGAGCAAGATCTCGTCTTGACCCACAACATGACTTGCGGTGTGCCTTAGCCATCAATATTCAACCCAGAATAAATGAATTGACCAAAAAGGTACAGCATCAAGGTAGCCATTGAAATTCAAAGGATATTGCATTTTTCTGTTACTTGCTTCTTAATGTATTTATATCACTTGTTCTGTTCACGTATATATTATCTATATATGTGAGCAAGTAAATGTTTTATCAGTCCTTCAATTA